GATGTTTCTACTGTTACATATGCAAAGATTGTAGATGAAGACCCAAGTGAAACTTGGAACATTACTTCGAAAACTTTAATATCTTTTTTGAACATTCAATAAAACTGCACTTTTATTATACTTAGCTTTAAGAAAGCACATAATTTGTTACTTCATAATGCATGTAAAATATGTGTTTAACAACATGTGAATATATGTATTTCTCAATAGTTAAATCGCCTTCATTTTCAGGTTAGACCTTACAGGTACTGCAAGGTTGATAATAACAATAGGTGTTTTCCAAATTAAACACTTGAATTATCTTTATATAATCTTAACTATTTCCACAGTTTATATGAATTTTATAGGGAAATGTATGTGTGCGGACTTTAATTTTAACGGAACTCTAAAGGGTCACCGAAAGTCACGATAAATTTTGATATTTTCATAATTTATACGGAGGTTATAACTGCAGAATTTAAACATATATATTACGCAGAGATACGCCATAAGCTAAGTTAGTATCTGCTAAAACATCGTTTTGACTAATAAGTTAAGACTGGTTAAGTCGGGTTAATTGATTAAGACAAAGCAACTCGAAGGCTGTCTGACTGAGTCAGTACCGGAACTTTTACATATAGACTTAAACTGAAAATTGTAAGTTTTCCTTCTACTTTTGAAAGTGTACATAAAGGCCATCGAGCGGCTTAAATCTTTTTAGATATGCAGTAGAAAGTCCTTCTTCGGCTTAATTCTGCATTTAAATGTATTCAAATATTCATAATTATTATTTTAACTTTTTTAATTTCTGTTCGCTTCGGTACAGCTTATTGTGATTGAAATGCAAATTCCTGATACAAGAACTGCAATTTTATTTCTCATTTTGAAATTGTTTCTTTAAAATGAATGAAAAACTCCTGTAGTTTTTAAATCTTTCAAGCGTCACTTGCAACTTAAGACACAGAAAAAAATAACAGGTAAGCATTGTTAAACCTGCTGTATTGTCAGATTATCATGTTTTGCTTGCAATGTCTGAGTGCCGAAACGCTTAGATCCATCACCGACCGGATAACTGTAAATTAGACGCTTGACCCAAAAATGCAAAAGAGAAACTTTTTTCCCTTCGAATTCACGTAACAATGGCTAGATTACGTCTTTGAAATATCAGAGGCTAGTGAGTACTAACAATTGACCAAAACGCGCTTTAAGTCCAGATAAAGTTCGAAACCTCAATAAAACTTCGCAACTCATTCCGAGTTACACAAACGACTAATTTACCATAAGCGCCTAATTTATTTTTTTTATTAGAGATATAAGTAAAGCTTGCAGTTCTATACGAGCAAACAATGTTCACATTGCTCTCAGTGTGAAAGAACCGAAGAATGTGACAGTGTTATGACATTATTAACATGTTTATAGTTCAAATGTCATAAACAATATCATAAGCAGAGGTTTTCCTCCTAGACCTTTCTAAAGTATTAAGTAAAACACCTCTACTCTTTATATTCTTCATACTACCAATGATCTATATGCATTAAGAAGAATTTCAGTGAGACATATTTCTTTTTGTGTGCACATATATTGTTTATAAATATGAATAAGTTCGTTGAAAGAACGGCGTGGAGCAGATCCATTTAACGTAATTCAGTATCATTTAACTGGCACAATTTAATTTTATCCACTGATAAAGATATGTTTCACACGAATGTGTTCATCAGCTGTACTCTTAAGAGCCAGACTGAACAGCTTTACGAATCGGAAAAACATTTCTAAATTATTTCTATTTGATGAAGACTAGATCTTTCTGGTAGTGCATTAGGATTTACTATTCACAACATCCTAACATTTATTTAAACTGTAATCCAATTATCATGCGCTGATCACCCGTGCATCAATCCTCAAGAAACATTCTCGCAGTGATATTTAAGAAACGATAGCTTTTGAGGAGGAACTTCTGACGCAATGAATCTCTCTGCTAAGGGGAGAACGAATTTTGAGATTTAATATCAGTACATGGCTAGGAATAAATGATTCTTGATCTTGAAACTGGGAATATTCTGTCAATGAAAAAGTAACAACATCGAGTTTTGTCAAAATTATTTCTGATTCTGAACGGTTTGGAAACATAGGGGAAGATAGAATAGAGCTATGGACCGAAAACTCTAAGAACGATAAAAGCTGTAATATTTTATTATACAGTGTCATTCTTCAGGCAGCGAATCAAGAAGAGCCAGCAAAAATATTTAAAGAAAATAATTAAGACAAGCACGTAGAAGCACTGGTTAGCTTATTCGAATATGGAAAAGGATATCTGCCTACGAAGAAATTTTAAAGGAAACTGGCTCGCATTCATATTTCACACGGAGAAACCACGAAAAGCAATCATGCAGCCAACCCGTTTACCTTGGATCAAAGCAGGGTCGAACTCCCAGCATTCAACGTTTTTAACCACTTGGGCACTGGTGGGGCTAGTGAGGCACTGGATTTATAGACAAGTCATTAGACTCACTATATGGCCAAATAACATGCATTCATATTTAATAGCATCATAGTTACGTCAAAGCACTCTACGGCTATCGGCCTAAGGGAAGGAATGCCTTCGTGGAGGACTTTCTAACTTGTAATAAAGAGTCTTTAATGAAAGATCACTCCATAAGCAAATGATTGAATTATATTGGACTATGTTATTATGGGAAAACACGTGAGAGCTACCTCGCAAGGAAATGAACGTTCAAGCAGTTGTCTTGCCTTTTCAAGAGATAATGATTCTCACTTGCTTTAAAGATAAGAAAAACAGGATGTTGCGAGTTCGTTCCGCCGTTTGGAATAAAATCAGGGATGAGCTTACCAGTGTTTCGGGGCCTTAGCCACTCTAACGGTGAACTGAATAAGAAGTTTTCGACAATAAAGGGTAGAGACATTTGATAATGATTGAAGAACTGCATGAAATTCAAGCCTTTTGAGATTAAGCTGTACGTTGCCTGTCATGTTTTTCTAACAATGATAGAAAACTTGTGCATTAACTTCCAAGGTTTTAAACCACTCAGCCTTTGATTTGTCGCACGTATAGAGATGGACCTAAAATCTGAACATAACATAAAAATAAGCCAATTAATCATATCAATAATCAACCCCTTTATATCAAATTAAGAATATTTGAAAATTTTAGAATATATTTTCTCAAAGAAAGTCATATAAATAAAAAGTACTTATTAAGAAATTTTCCGAGCAAGAAAAATAACAAAAACTTAAGAATCCTCAAGATTCTTTTAACGGAAATCCATTTGTTTGAATGTCAAGAATGCATAAATGTTAAAGAATAGCTCATGCATAAACATAAAGCCAAGTACTGTAAAAGCTTGTAAAGATCTTTTTGCCTGAGAAAACTATAAAATATCAGAGGCACAATTTGCTAAAATGGGCATAGTAAAAAAAATAGCAGTTCATAATGACAAGACGGGATGTATCGCTTATATGATCGAACGATGACCGAGAGACTAAAGCCGTAAATCACGGATCTCTCAAAATCAGTTGATTTCGGAATCAGTTCTTAGCATTATACAAATCAGTTCTCGAAGATTTGTAAGCATCAGTTCTTGAAGACTAAAGAAGCTAACTATGTATATATATTTATGGTTGTTCTAATATCTGACGTAAACATGAGTTAATTTCCCTTTCCCTTCATTAAACTTTCACCTAAACATACATTTTCTTAAGCCTTCTCACGCTGAACGCTGGTAGTTCGGTCCGAGGTTCGAATCCCACGAACGAGCTGGCTGTATGGGCGTTTTCGTGGTTTACCCCCCATGAGTAACGTGTATACGAGCCAGTTTCCCTTAGAAAATCCTCCACGGAGGCATCCCTCCACATAGAAAGATAGCCCTCGAGGCTTTGCCATAATCACACACACACACAGACACACACACATACTTAAGTCTTCTCAGCCATACAATGCCATATCTGATACGAAGCAAAATGAAAACAGTTTTTAACTCCATTTTTTTTCTTTACTTCTCTTTATTTTCCTAACAATCGTCAAAAAAACAAAAAATTGCGTGTATCTATGAAGTATGATAATTTTCGAAATTATTAAATTTTCCTCCTAGAGAAATTAAATTCAACTTAAAAATATCAATTTTTGTTATTTCTATAGTAAGCATATTTTTAACTTCAAAAATAATTTACTTTAGTTCTTTTTTCATGATAGTACAAAAATTGCACTCTCATATTTACCCTTTTTCATTTTGTTTTATTTTCATTGTGTATTGTTTTCTTCCAATTACGCGGTTATGTTTTGAGAAATTTAACAAAAATAAATTTGATTGAAAATAAAACTTAATTTTTATGATAGTATAAAAAATTTATTTAGTTTCTGTTTAATTTTATTAAAACGTTTTCTTTCAAAATAAATAAAAATAGGCATGAAATAAGCATTTGAAACACTAATGAAGAACCTTTGAGCTCTTTTGAAGTCAAGTGCACATTAAAAAGACTGCTTAAATAAGCAAATTCTTTGCAATGAAGTCTTTGCAATGAATTTTTTAAAACTAAATGGATTAGTGACTGAAATTTGGTAGCAAAAATATTTTTGCATTACTGTTTTCTGAACCAAGTTGTTACAAGAAATAGGGGTCCACAAATATGTGCATTAATATTGCTACTAAAATATTTAATTCATTTCTTGTTTAAAGATTTCTTTAAAGATTTTTCTTATTTTCGGTATTGGTATAATGACAGAATGTTAAAACGTTTACAAAAATATTAGGGCCAAATTTTTAGAAAAAATTCAGATATAAATAATAGCTAGTATGGAAAATTAATTTTGTCTTAAAATATTATAAGAAAAAAATTAAAAGTAAACAGCAATCATTTAAGTGTTCTATTAACATTATAACAAATCAAGGAAGTTCGATACTTAGTAGTTTCCTACCCAAATAAAATTATCATTAATCATATTAAAGTAGTTAGCTAATATAAGATGACGACATATTTGAGTTCGATATAATGCTAAAATAGCTTACCTCGTAAACGCTGGATAAACCCAGTTTGAAAAACACAGGCATGAAGACATAAGCTACGGTAGGGAACATGAAACAGTAGGCCGCTACGACCATCCAAAACTGAGTCCCAGTGAGATACGTTTCTGCTGGTATCCCAAGCATTGGAATAGCGGACATGAAACTAGCTAAGATAGACATAGCAACAGGAAAGACTCCCATCTCTTTGCCCCCCATGAAAAAGTCTTTTGTAGTTTTCTGCTTGCTTCCCGTGCAAGCATAGTAAATTCCAATAGCCGCCGAGACTCCAAGCATGGCTATGAATATGACATAGTCCGCTATGGTAAATCTAGATAGCAATTCCTCTCTTGTGGTGTGCATTGTTGTAGTTCGATCAGATCGCTGGCTATCTGTGTAAGGAGCAATATCCAGAGTGCTCTTAAGAGAGCGATTTTCTTTGTATACAATTTTAAGATACTAGTAGGTGCCAAGTTAGTTCATGCCCATGCTCTCTTCTGATGAAAAGTGCCGGTTTCATACTAGGCAGACTGATTTTATTATCTAAATGAAAAATAATCTTAGTTAAGCCGGTAAAAATGGGAGGGGTAGTGGTGGAGGGGAGGTGAGAGAAAGTGAGGTCACACTGGCGTAAGTATGTCAGACAGTGAAGATACGAAACCGTTTCCACTGCGGTTCATATCGTGATCAGAGTTAGTAGCCTTGGTGCTCACCGTGTGAATGCATTACTACGGTTGGACGAGCAACAGGTTGTCCAGTTGTTATTCTAGATTTGGCGAAATATTATCTTTTTTGGCGAAGTAAATGAACTGGATGAGATAACCACCACTATTCCAGTTAATACGGCTTGAAATAAAGCCTTACAAAAAATTTATAGAACAGACAATAAAATGGAAACATAAATGATTAATTTAATAATGTCGACTTCCTACAGATTTATAAATATTTCAAGTAATTACGCTACCTCCAGGGCTTAATTTCTAAAATTATAATTGCTGGAGTCGTATGGAAGGCTGTCGAACGTGGCGAAAAGAAACGAATAAATGCTAGTTAAAATTAAATAAAATGTAAAAAATATATAAAAGCATTTGAAAATTAATAATAAAGAAAGTAAATTGAACTAAAGCATCCTGAAAATAAAATAAAAAAGGAGACAAAGTGTAATTAGCGATAACAAGGAATGGCTCATCTATGACAGTAAAAGGATTTTGTACAGTATACTTGATTGCGAGGTAAAATTGCTTGCTTATTTTGACTTTTACTTCGTTTCAAATCGTGTTGTCCGGATAGGCAGAGTTCATAAACATCGCTATTCCTGAAGGGGTAAGATTTCGAAATGGAGGAAACTTTCACCTCATAGGCTCAAATTTTCTTAAGTAAAGTTCAGGTATGTATCCGATAACTAGTTCGGGTATGTATACGATAATAAGTCAATATTATTAAATGCTAAAAGATATGTTGTATTAATAACAGAATATTTTGCTTACATTGCGATTCAGTTCAATGAAGTACCAGAACTCATGTTACATCGCCGGTGCTCTCCGCCTGGAATGCAATTGCGCTAAAAACATAGAAACACTACAGCCGGACACCATTGGGCTCCGGTTTATTTTAAGCTGTGGGTAAATTACAGACGCATACATCCTTATTATTTGCTTATAACGTCTAAATTTAATTAACAAATTACATTCTTAACGTTTATATTCTTCTTTAAAGTTTCCTATATTGCAAATTCCAATCTCATATTTTTCTTCGTTGGTGCCATACTTAAAAAACTCGCTTCTTTAACAGCATAATCGCCAAACATCAGTATTTCAGTATACCAGTTGTAGCCAAAACAGACAAGACTTAATTCTATCAGGTTTCCAACAGCGATCAAGGAGTTAACCACTTCACCGTCCTACCAAACTCAGATATTCGCTTTTTTGTTTTTCTCCAAAGATGAACATTCTGCGTTTAAAACTGGCCTAAGAAATGTCTCTTTTCCTCTTTCACCAGCTTTCAAAACCTATTTAGAGATTCGTCTACTTGTAATACTCAAGGATGTTGAATATTGTTTCCCTACCCAGAAGAAAAAATTATTTTTGTCACCTAGTCTCTTATCTGAAAATTAATGAAGACGATCGCTTAAAATCGAGCTTTAAAATTAGCAATAATCTATTGCAATGCCAACTGAAATACTGGACGTGCATTTTTATTTTCCGACTTTTTAAATGAACTCACATTTTTATGATTCTCATATGACCCTGATGTGGAAAGGAGCGTGACCAATTAAAACACCAATCACCTCTTTTCATTTTCACTGCATTCTGAAAGGCTGAAAACACGAAGCGACGAGTGTCTCTCGGTAACGATCCAGGCCACGTTTAGCTCCGACGAGTGTATGCCGTTACCGACGACTGAAGACCTTTTCAAATCGACGAGTCTGTCTCGGAGAAAACATGAAGTTTCTAAGAATGCTGGCAGTTGGAACCCAGGTGAACGGGTTGGCTCTGCATGGTTGTTGTTTGTGTTTTTCAACCATGTGTAACCTAACTACGAGCCAGTTTCATTTAACAATCCACAGTGAATGCATCCTTTCCTTTGATCAGATAGCCCTCGTCTGCTTTGTCATCAATTTTGGTTATCCATCCCAAAAGTGTTATGGTCTGGATGTGAGTTGAGATGTGAGTAATTAAATCTCACTAGGGGTTAAAAGCGTTTCAAAATTATGTATGCAAACAATTTTCAAAACTTCTTTTGAAGCACACCCAGAATGTGCTCCTGGAGAGATGGACTTTTTCATCAAAATTCTGCACTTTTACACTGAAAAACATACTCTGAAATTCATCGTGGATGAAAATGTTAAATTCATAAATATAAATAAATTAATATTCTTGTCTGTGGGTGCTGAATATGTCGCATGGTATTATTTTTTTACAGATACCTGAAAAGGAACTAAACAAAAGAAACATTTCTGCTCTGAGATGTCTTAAAAGTATAAAGGAAGAGAGGCAAAGAAAATACCCCAGAATTTATATTACAGAATTTAAATTATGCGCAAAGTAATGTAGAACAATCTAATACGACAAACGTAGTGGCAGCGAGAAGTGTCCATAATTTGTTTTCAAAAATTCAAAAGTTATGATGCATGAAAAGTAATCCCTAAAAGCTTTTGTTACTCTGTAATTTGTTTAAAAGCAAACATTAGTTTTAAACATTACAGCTTCTTGATAATTCTGTAGTCCAACATAGCGCTATTTTAATGCTAGAAAAATTTAGCATCTCTAAAAACCCGAGCTTCTTTTTGTCAACATTAAAAGCTTCTTTAAAAGTGCTTTTTTTAAGGTATTAACGTCAGAAATCTTACATAAACAACTGTTTTTCAAAATGCAACGTTTAATATATCTATCTACAATTTTTCAACACACAAGGCTTTTCATCGAATAATTAAATGTTTTTTACAAAAAATATAAGAACGCTTTTTATCACAGTATTGTCTGAAAGTGAAGAAAAATTTAGTTGTGTCTCTTCTAAAATTTATAAACTGATGCTTTATAACTAAGCAGTTATTAATATCTGAGATGGGTTCCTATGAAACATTAAAGCTTTACAGCAATGTTATTATGCAGAGTTTCAAGAAACTAAATGCAGAATTTTTGGAACTCCCCAATATTTTATTACATGAATAGCAATACACAGAAAGAAGAGACATTTCTAAATATTTATGGAGATAATAATCGTGTTCGTCATTACAGAATTAGAAAAGCGTCGATAAAGATAGGGGAAGATAACAGAGGTCACTGTCCTCAACCATAGGTGCAGAAAATGTAGATAAGAATTTAGGACTGTTATGCGCAAGATTATTTAAGAAAGCAATTATCAGCCAGAACTAAGGGCAAAGTAATTTATACTTTATTATTTCTTCAGCATTATCTCGACAAATATTAGACAAATATTAGCTGAACTTACCGCAGCACTGAAACACTAACCAGCAATGAAAGCTTATTTGAATGCTAAAATAAAGATTATGACTTGAGCTCATAGGAATAATTATGCACACTGCTTGTTGATATCCTGTAAATCGTTGGGCAAAGTCATGGAAAATATATCAAAGAAAAGTTTCGAAATTTTGCAGATAATATGTTTGAATATATTCATTTTTCATAGCAGAGCTTTATATTTTTATGATGTGCCCATACTTCTAATAACGAGGTTTAATAATCGTTACAGTAACCATTATTCCCCTCCTTCCGAATTCCTCCAGGATTTAAGAGTTCGTGGATAATAACGCATATTCTTATTTTCCACATAGCTAAATAAACTTCAAGTCACGAAGTTTATGTGGCAAATCTATGAGTAAAATTTTTATCCTCTTCAAAAGATACGAACACTATTCTGTTTGATGAAGTCGAACTTCCTATCCTCATAGGAAAAATAGCACTTCTATTCTCGTACTAAAAATGATATTTCAAATGATTTGGCTTCAGGGGTAGCTCTAACTGTTTGTTCGATTTCATAACAGGAAAGATGTGTAATTTTAGGTATGAGTGGATAAGGTGCAATCACCGGCGAATAGATGAATAAAATGGTTGTGAGTAAAGAAACCTTTCGCTTTCCTGTATCCTTAGCAGAGAAGGAATTCTTTTTATTGCCTTATCGATCAAATCATTTCCGAACGGGGAGTGAGATTCTCTCAAAGGAATGGAAGTTTCCGTGAAAGAAAAAGCTTCTTTTACGCGCGAATTATTGGAACGTCTAGAAGTTAAAATTAAGGAAAGGCAAATATATAATAAACAATATTCATTGTAACAGGCGAGATAGTGGTAGAAAAAAATTTTGACTAAAAAATTTTTGAATGAAAAAATTTTGACTTTCGCTCTTTCACATCGATAGAGGCCAAAATCTTTTCCTCTCAAACATCTGAAACTCCAAGTACATACGATTTTCAGTTGGAATGGATTTTGTTCCCACCCCTCTGCCAAGTAAAATACTACATAGTTAACAATGTAGTTGAAGAGGAAACTGTCGCACCTTTTATTCAGATAACGCGAAAACTTTCAAATATGCTGCCAAAGATTTGCAGTATTTTTACAGCATAATTAAAGGTACAGACTTTCAAAATTTTCTAGCAAATGAAGGCTTGACTTGGAAATTTATCGTCGAGCTTGCTCCATGGTGGGGAACTTTTTATGAACGCCTTATGAAAACCATAAATGAACCGTTGAAAAAGATATTAGGCAGAGCTCAACTGAATTTTGAAGAATTTATGACTGTGTTGACAGAGGTCGAAAATATTGTGAATAGACGTCCTTTGACCTACGTTTACAACGATTTACATGAACCTGAACCGCTTGCACCGGCTGATTTTTCTATTGATCGGACATAAGGATGAATATCCATACAACTTTGCTGAGATCCTGAATAACTCTCCAACAAGAAAGAGTCTAATAAAACGAAAAGAATATCAGACAACACTTATAAAACAGTTCTGGAAAAAATGGAAAAATCAGTATCTTCTTGAGTTGAGAAATGCTCACTTCTTCGGTACACCAGAAGCCAAGAAAAATCTTAAAATTGGTGATATAGTTTTACTTGAAGGAACAACTAAATCTAAGTTCCTCTGGGATTTGGGTCGAGTAATTCAAGTCTTTAAAGGACGTGATGGTCTTGTACGATCATGTGTGATAA